AAAACAACAATACCCCCAGATAAAGCAAAAAACCCCAATAAAGGAACAATACCCCCAGATAAAGCAACAATAAACCCCAGATAAGCAAAAATACCCCCCAAAATGCAACAATACCCCAATAATGCAACAATACCCGAGATAAAGCAAAAATACCCAATAAAGCAACAATACCCCCGATAAAACAACAAACCCAGATAAAGCAACAATACCCCAGATAAAGGAACAAACCCCAATAGAGCAAAAACCTCAATAAAGCAACAATACCCCAGATAAAGCAAAAAATACCCCAAAAAAGCAAAAATACCCCAAAAAAGCAACAATACCCCCAGATAAAGCAAAAAACCCCAGATAAACAACAATACCCCAATAAAGCAACAATCCCCAGAAAACAACAAAACCCCAATAAACAACAATACCCCCAAAAAACAACAATACCCCAGATAAACAACAAAACCCCCAATAAAGCAACAAACCCCAATAAAGCAACAAAACCCCCCAAAAAAGCAACAATACCCCCCAAAAAAGCAACAATCCCCAGAAAAAGCAAAATACCCCAAAAAGCAACAAACCCCCAAAAAGAAAAATACCCCGAAAAGCAACAATACCCCCCGATAAAGCAACAATACCCCAGATAAAGCAACAATACCCCATATAAAGCAACAATACCCCAAAAAAGCAACAATACCCCCGATAAACAACAATACCCCCCAATAAAACAACAAAAATCCCAGATAAAACAAAAATACCCCGATAAAGCAACAATATCCCAGATAAAGCAAACAATACCCCCGATAAAGCAACAATACCCTCAATAAACAAAAAACCCCCCGATAAAGCAACAATATCCCAGAAAAAAGCAAAAATACCCCCAGATAAAGCAACAAAACCCCAAAAAGCAACAATACCCCCGATAAAGCAAAAATACCCCAAAAAACAAAATCCCCAGATAAAGCAACAATACCCCCAGAAAACAACAATACCCCAGTAAAGCAAAATACCCCAATAAAGCAACAATACCCTCAGTAAAGCAACAAAACCCCAGATAAAGCAACAATACCCCCGTAAAGAACAATACCCTAGAAAACAACAATACCCCAGAAAAAGCAACAATACCCCCCAAAAAGCAAAAATACCCCCGATAAAGCAACAATACCCCAGATAAAGCAACAATCCCCCGATAAAGCAAAAAATATCCCCGAAAAGCAACAATACCCCAGATAAAAGCAACAAACCCCAATAAACAAAAAACCCAAAAAGCAACAATTCCCAATAAACAAAAATACCCCATAAAGCAACAAACCCCAGATAAAACAACAATCCCCCAAAAAAGCAACAAAACCCAGATAAACAAAAAAACCCCAAAAAGCAACAATACCCCCAGATAAAGCAACAATACCCCCCGATAAAGCAACAAAACCCCCCGAAAAGCAACAAAACCCCCAGAAAAGCAACAAACCCCAATAAAGCAACAATACCCAGATAAAGCAACAATACCCCCAAAAAAGCAACAATACCCCCGAAAAGCAACAATCCCCAGAAAAAACAACAAAACCCCAGATAAAGCAACAATACCCCAGATAAAGCAACAATACCCCAGAAAAGCAACAATACCCCCCGATAAACAAAAATACCCCCGATAAAGCAACAAAAACCCCCGAAAAGCAACAAAACCCCCGATAAAGCAACAAAACCCCCAATAAAACAACAAACCCCAGATAAAGCAACAATCCCTCAATAAAACCCAAAAATACCCCAATAAAACAACAAAACCCCAGATAAACAACAATACCCCAAAAAGCAACAATACCCCAGTAAAGCAAAAAATATCCCAGATAAAGCAACAAACCCCCGATAAAGCAAAAAAACCCAGATAAAGCAACAAACCCCAATAAAGCAAAAATTCCCAGTAAACAACAATACCCCAGAAAAGCAACAAAACCCCCGATAAACAAAAACCCCAAAAAAGCAACAAAACCCCAGATAAACAAAAATACCCCCGATAAAAGCAACAAAATCCCAGATAAAGCAACAAAACCCCAGATAAAGCAACAAAACCCCCCGATAAAGCAACAAAACCCCCAAAAAACAAAAATATCCAGATAAAGCAACAATACCCCAGAAAAGCAACAATCCCAGATAAAACAAAAATACCCCAGAAAAGCAACAAACCCCAGAAAAAGCAACAATACCCCCCGATAAAGCAACAAAACCCCCAAAAAAGCAACAATACCCAGATAAAACAAAAATACCCCAAAAAGCAACAATACCCCCAAAAAAGCAACAATACCCCAAAAAGCAACAATACCCCAATAAAGCAACAATACCCCAATAAAGCAACAAAACCCCCGATAAAGAACAATACCCAGATAAAGCAACAATATCCCAAAAAAGCAACAATATCCCAATAAACAAAAATACCCCCGAAAAGCAACAATAACCCAGATAAACAACAATATCCCCGTAAAGCAACAAATCCCAGATAAGCAACAATACCCCGATAAAACAAAAATACCCCAGATAAAGCAAAAATCCCCAGATAAACAACAATACCCCCCCATAAAGCAACAAACCCCGATAAACAACAATACCCCCAATAAAACAACAAACCCCAATAAAGCAACAAACCCCAGATTTAAAACAACAATACCCCCCCCCCGATAAAGCAACAATACCCCCAGATAAAGCAAAATACCCAATAAAGCAAATACCCCAGATAAAACAACATACCCCAGATAAAGCAACAATACCCCAGATAAAGCAACAATACCCCAGATAAAGCAACAATACCCCCTAAACAACAATACCCCCAAAAAGCAACAATCCCCCCGATAAAGCAACAAAACCCCAATAAAAACAACAAACCCCCGATAAAGCAACAATCCCCCCGATAAAGCAACAATAAACCCCCAAAAAACAAAAATACCCCCCGATAAAGCAACAATACCCCAGATAAAGCAACAAACCCCAAAAAGCAACAATACCCCCAAAAAAGCAACTACCCCAATAAAGCCAAAAATACCCCCAGAAAAGCAAAATACCCCCAAAAAACAACAAAACCCCAGATAAAGCAAAATACCCCAGATAAAGCAACAATATCCCAGATAAAAGCAACAATATCCCAGATAAAGAACATACCCCCCGTAAAACAACCAAAACCCCAGATAAAGCAAAAAATACCCCAATAAAGAACAAAACCCCAATAAAGCAACAATACCCCCCGATAAAGCAACAATATCCCAATAAACAAAAAATACCCCCGATAAAGCAACAATACCCCCCAAAAAAGCAACAATACCCCAGATAAACAACAATACCCCCGAAAAAACAAAAATACCCCAATAAAGCAAAAAACCCCCGATAAAGCAACAATACCCCAAAAAAGCAACAAACCCCGATAAAACAACAATCCCCAGAAAACAAAAATACCCCAGTAAAGCAACAATATCCCAGATAAAGCACAATTACCCCCAATAAAGCAACAATACCCCAGATAAAGCAACAATACCCCAGATAAAGCAACAAAACCCCCCGAAAACAACAAAACCCCAGATAAAACAACAATATCCCAATAAAGCAAAAATATCCCCCCAAAAGCAACAATACCCCAGATAAAGCAACATACCCCAGATAAAGCAACAAAACCCCAGAAAAGCAACAATACCCCGATAAAGCAACAATACCCCAAATAAAGCAACATATCCCAATAAGCAAAAATACCCCAAAAAGCAACAATACCCCAGATAAAGCAACAATACCCCAGATAAAGCAACAATACCCCAGATAAAGCAACAATACCCCAGATAAAGCAACAATACCCCAGATAAAGCAACAATACCCCAGATAAAGCAACAATACCCCAGATAAAGCAACAATACCCCAGATAAAGCAACAATACCCCAGAAAAAGCAACAATACCCAGATAAAAAACAATACCCCAATAAGCAACAAACCCCAGAAAAGCAACAATACCCCAGAAAAAACAAAACCCCCAGATAAAGCAACAATACCCCCGAAAAGCAACAATACCCCAGATAAAGCAACAATAAACCCCAAAAAAAGCAAAAATACCCCCGATAAAGCAAATTAAAATTTCTAAAATGTATTCTAAATAATTTTGATCAAATTATATTAAAATTATTATTTCTGTTATTATTATTTTATTTCACCATTATTGCTTTTTTTATTTTTAATTTTTTAATTTTTAATAATTTTTAAATTTATTATAATTTTAAAAATTTTTATTATTACAGCACGGGAAGTGACTGCGTCCAGTACCTTTCCTTCAGTACTGTAAGAACCGTCTACACTCAGGGAAGCTGTCCCTCTGTCAAAGTGATTATTTTGGATTATTATAATTATTTTTCTGGTATTTTAAATTTTTATCATTATTATTATCATTATTATTCACTTATTAGATTATTTTCATAACTAAACGCTAATCTCACTAGTAAATATTGAAAAATTATGGATAATTATTTTCTCTGTCATTTTGGCAAAGGAAGGTCTAGCTTTTTTTGGTCAAACCCGGGGGTTGGGGGATAGCTCTAGGCCCCTTGTGTTGCAATTAATAATATTTTATATATATATATATAATATATATATAAATATATATTAATATATATATATATTATATATATATATATATATAATATTTATATAATATATATATATAAAATATATATATATATATATAATATGATCGGACAGCCTAAAATTATCCCTCAGTAATTTTCGGTCCAGGAGGTGTGAATCGACCCCCTGAGTACAGACACGTTCCCGAATCCCCATTATCTTCCAGCCCCTGAGCTAGAGCCTTGGGTTCTTTAAGTTTAACAAATTTATGCACGCTAACGTTATCAAAATTAATTTCTCCATAAAATGTGGACCAAAGTGGTTTTTATTTATAATCAAAATTCCCCCTTAACCCCCCCCGGCCTTATCCCTAGGCCTATTAAGTGGAATATTTAATTTTCTGTTCAATATTCTGGATTTTACAATAGGCTTAATAGAAAGATTTATTAATTACTTGTATTTCGGCATTTACGACCTCCAGTCAGTACACTTACGACCTCCAGCCAGTACACTTACGACCTCCAGTCAGTACACTTATTACCTCCAGTCAGTACATTTTCGACCTCCAGTCAGTACACTTACGACCTCCAGTCAGTACACTTATTACCTCCAGTCAGTACATTTTCGACCTCCAGTCAGTACACTTACGACCTCCAGCCAGTACACTTACGACCTCCAGTCAGTACACTTACGACCTCCAGTCAGTACACTTACGACCTCCAGTCAGTACACTTACGACCTCCAGTCAGTACACTTACGACCTCCAGCCAGTACACTTACGACCTCCAGTCAGTACACTTACGACCTCCAGTCAGTACACTTACGACCTCCAGCCAGTACATTTAAACGACCTCCAGTCAGTACACTTACGACCTCCAGTCAGTACACTTACGACCTCCAGTCATACACTTACGACCTCCACCAGTACACTTACGACCTCCAGTCAGTACACTTACGACCTCCAGTCAGTACACTTACGACCTCCCAGAAATACACTTACGACCTCCAGCCAGTACACTTACGACCTCCAGTCAGTACACTTACGACCTCCAGTCAGTACACTTACGACCTCCAGTCAGTACACTTATTACCTCCAGTCAGTACATTTTCGACCTCCAGTCAGTACACTTACGACCTCCAGCCAGTACACTTACGACCTCCAGTCAGTACACTTACGACCTCCAGTCAGTACACTTACGACCTCCAGCCAGTACACTTACGACCTCCAGTCAGTACACTTACGACCTCCAGTCAGTACACTTACGACCTCCAGTCAGTACACTTACGACCTCCAGTCAGTACACTTACGACCTCCAGCCAGTACACTTACGACCTCCAGTCAGTACACTTACGACCTCCAGTCAATACACTTACGATCTGAGAGCCAAGATATTCACTGCAACACCCGTCAAACAGAAGTATAAACCTGGGAATTACTGCCAGTCTCGTTACCTCTAGTCACTGGCAAAGTCTCTGAAAAATCATCGCCAATACACTGAATTATTACATAGATTTGAATCACCTCTTCACTTAAAAGCAATTTGGCTTCAGGATCCACCGAGGAACTTAACAATATCATCTACGATGCCGTGAACAGCTTGAGGAAACAAGGAACTCTTGCCCTGATTGTAAATAGGGATGTACACAAAGCTTTTGACAGCCTGTGATATGATGACCTTGTATTCAAACCTGCTGACCTTCCTGACCACAACTAGACCTTAATCGGGCTTATATATAACTTCTTATCAGGAAGCATCATCCCCCCCTCCCCACCTTCAACGGCAAGTCGGCTGGGCCGTTCACATCAACAGCTGGAGTGCCACAAGGTTCGTACCTCAGTCCTACACTCTTCAACATATTCGTAAATGACCTCCCCCAACCTGAATTCACCGACACCGCCACCACCTAGTTTGCTGACAATGTTAGCCATGAAGTCTCATCCACCCCTATATCTGAAAAAAAAAATGAATGCGGAATTACGAGGAACAGCCAACTGGGAGAAGAAATGAAGAATCACGACCAGCCCCGACAAGGTCCTCATCAGTACCACCGTGTGTTTTGCCACACATATTGTAAAGAAGCGGTGGTATGTCCGTCAGAGGTACACCTATCATCACCAAAAACCCGAATAAGATGCTGGGCTACGAGATGAACAGATTACTCCACTCCACATCCCATATCACCATAGAGGTCAACTAGCAAAAGTTCGCCTCAGTCAGCTATACAGATTCCAGCAGGCACTCCCCCACCCCACATATCAAGAACCATGATAAAATATGAATCACGAAACCGTAATGACGTGATTGCAAACAAACCATACCACGGGCGGGGATAGTAGCCATCTCACTAACAACAAAATCCAATATTTTACAGCTACAAAGAATCCAGAACAAGATTTCACTTTATCACAGCACCAGACGGAGAGAGAGAATCAGGATGGAAGATCTACTCATCCAACTGGAAATCGACCAAATAAATGTCACACTAGACACATGTGCAACTCTTGGGTATCTTTATTGAGGAAACGTTTCGCCACACAGTGGCTTCATCAGTCCATACACAGGAGAAACGTGAAGAACAGGAGGAGAATGAGGTAATCAATCCCTCAACCTTGAGTCGAGGTGGTCAGTCCATCAATCTTGAATAGAATACAGCATGTGTGCGGAGAAGCAGCTTATAAACCATAGGCAGGAGAGGTGCAGCAGCCGTAGGTGGTGTCACATTTGTCCAATGTGGAAGTAGGTCGTGTCCAAGCGAAACGTTTCCTCAATAAAGATACCCAAGAGTTGCACATGTGTCTAATTTATCAACGTGTCGGTTCACTGAACCATTCATCTGCAATGTCAGACTAGACAAACTAAAAGAGAGAGAATTATATAACATGCAAGAACTATATATACCAGACAGAGGGAACCTCCCCCGGCCAGCTAGCACCACTGACTACATCACCACACCTCCCCACTGGACCCACAGGATGTTCCCACAAGACGTCCAGTGCTTCATTCACAAGAACTTCCCGAGACCTTCCCGAGAACTTCCCGAAGATTCTGAGTTATCTTCTTAAAGATATAGCAGAATGAGTACACGACGACCATTCAATGTCCAAGACACACAAAATCACCCCATCCATGGAGACCTTTCAGCTAACCAGGTAAAATTTAAATTTAATCATATAGTATCTGCAAACCTAATATGGCAGGACACCACCTCAGAAACAGTTCAGCCGACCACCAACTCCAGTAAGGCAGTCGACTACCACCACCAACTCCAGTAAGGCAGTCGACTACCACCACCAACTCCAGTAAGGCAGTCGACTACCACCACCAACTCCAGTAAGGCAGTCGACTACCACCACCAACTCCAGTAAGGCAGTCGACTACCACCACCAACTCCAGTAAGGCAGTCGACTACCACCACCAGCTCCAGTAAGGCAGTCGACTACCACCACCAACTCCAGTAAGGCAGTCGACTACCACCACCAACTCCAGTAAGGCAGTCGACTACCACCACCAGCTCCAGCAAGGCAGTCGACTACCACCACCAACTCCAGTAAGGCAGTCGACTACCACCACCAACTCCAGCAAGGCAGTCGACTACCACCACCAACTCCAGTAAGGCAGTCGACTACCACCACCAGCTCCAGCATGGCAGTCGACTACCACCACCAGCTCCAGCAAGGCAGTCGACTACCACCACCAACTCCAGTAAGGCAGTCGACTAACACCACCAGCTCCAGCAAGGCAGTCGACTACCACCACCAACTCCAGTAAGGCAGTCGACTACCACCACCAACTCCAGCAAGGCAGTCGACTACCACCACCAGCTCCAGCAAGGCAGTCGACTACCACCACCAACTCCAGTAAGGCAGTCGACTACCACCACCAACTCCAGTAAGGCAGTCGACTACCACCACCAGCTCCAGCAAGGCAGTCGACTACCACCACCAGCTCCAGTAAGGCAGTCGACTACCACCACCAGCTCCAGTAAGGCAGCCGACTACCACCACCAGCTCCAGCAAGGCAGTCGACTACCACCACCAACTCCAGCAAGGCAGCCGACTACCACCACCAGCTCCAGCAAGGCAGTCGACTACCACCACCAGCTCCAGCAAGGCAGTCGACTACCACCACCAGCTCCAGTAAGGCAGCCGACTACCACCACCAGCTCCAGCAAGGCAGCCGACTACCACCACCAGCTCCAGCAAGGCAGCCGACTACCACCACCAGCTCCAGCAAGGCAGTCGACTACCACCACCAACTCCAGTAAGGCAGTCGACTACCACCACCAGCTCCAGCAAGGCAGTCGACTACCACCACCAGCTCCAGCAAGGCAGTCGACTACCACCACCAACTCCAGTAAGGCAGTCGACTAACACCACCAGCTCCAGCAAGGCAGTCGACTACCACCACCAACTCCAGTAAGGCAGTCGACTACCACCACCAACTCCAGCAAGGCAGTCGATACCACCACCAGCTCCAGCAAGGCAGTCGACTACCACCACCAACTCCAGTAAGGCAGTCGACTACCACCACCAACTCCAGTAAGGCAGTCGACTACCACCACCAGCTCCAGCAAGGCAGTCGACTACCACCACCAGCTCCAGTAAGGCAGTCGACTACCACCACCAGCTCCAGTAAGGCAGCCGACTACCACCACCAGCTCCAGCAAGGCAGTCGACTACCACCACCAACTCCAGCAAGGCAGCCGACTACCACCACCAGCTCCAGCAAGGCAGTCAACTACCACCACCAGCTCCAGCAAGGCAGTCGACTACCACCACCAGCTCCAGTAAGGCAGCCGACTACCACCACCAGCTCCAGCAAGGCAGCCGACTACCACCACCAGCTCCAGCAAGGCAGCCGACTACCACCACCAGCTCCAGCAAGGCAGCCGACTACCACCACCAGCTCCAGCAAGGCAGCCGACTACCACCACCAGCTCCAGCAAGGCAGCCGACTACCACCACCAGCTCCAGCAAGGCAGCCGACTACCACCACCAGCTCCAGCAAGGCTGCCGACTACCACCACCAGCTCCAGCAAGGCAGTCGACTACCACCACCAGCTCCAGCAAGGCAGTCGACTACCACCACCAGCTCCAGCAAGGCAGCCGACTACCACCACCAGCTCCAGCAAGGCAGTCGACTACCACCACCAGCTCCAGCAAGGCAGTCGACTACCACCACCAACTCCAGCAAGGCAGCCGACTACCACCACCAGCTCCAGCAAGGCAGTCGACTACCACCACCAGCTCCAGCAAGGCAGCCGACTACCACCACCAGCTCCAGCAAGGCAGCCGACTACCACCACCAGCTCCAGCAGGAACGCTGTAATCAGCCATAGGAACCTACCTTCTACAGAAAAAAAACTGCAGTAGGAAAGTCTATACGAACTATCAATCCCCCACCACACATGTATGCAAGTCGCATAC